ATGCATATGATGCGACTTACAGATCTGTAATATATATATTTGTTATTATCGTACGCCGTCTGCCAGTTGTGTGTGTGTGTGCGACAAATATGTATAGACTATTCAGCGAAAACGGAAGCGACATTCACACTTCGTTTTTTTGTCGACCCACACCCACCCACCCACACACACACAGAATCACGAGACGCGAGAAGAAAAACAAGAAGAAAAAGAAGAAGAAGAAGAAGCAGAAAAAGAAGAAAAAAAAGAATAAGAAGAAGAAAAAGAAGAAGAAATAAAAGAAGAAGATGTGTTGATCGAAGAAGAAGACACACCTTGTGTTTCTCACCTTCCATTATGCAAATTCGTTGCTCTGTTGCTTACGGTGAAGCTTTGTGTTTTCGACAGCTTCATTGACTCGCAATTCGCAAGCAACGACTATGCGGGTGACGCCAATGATTTTCCAATGCTACCATTCCACGATACTCCGCACGGGGGAAAACGTTTATTATTACGAGTCGTAAAATTCGGTTACAGAGCCAGTCGAAGAGATGTCGGAGTACAAAGACAGACACAAAATGGAGGATCGGCATTTTGTTGTCGCCGTCGAAGATGAACGAGTCATAAGACTAACAACAAAAACTTACATTCATCATCATGCCATCGACCACATTCGGGTGCTCATGTCCAGGCCCACGACGTACTTCAATAGCCTCATTCTCAATCCTGTCGAAGGAGATAAAATGTATGATATTGTCTACCCACTTGTGTATCGTATATTGGAAACACACTACGGCACTGTTTATCGGGACGGTGTGTGGCGACTTGTTGTAACTGCGCCATATTTTGTTTGCAATGACGAGGATTTCTCGGCCAAGTTCATTCCTTCTGCCCACGTCAGCGTTGACTGCAGTGACATACACCCGCGACAATGACAGGATGGATGAGTTCCTGCAGACGCTCGTTCGAGATGACCGCCTGGCCGCAGCATGGAACTCGTTTGCGGGGTATAGGGAATTCGAGAGAGAGAGAGAGAGAGAGAGAGAGAGAGAGAGAGAGAGAGAGAGAGAGAGACTTCCTCTGACGTTCGTATTGTTTTGCATGTATCAATTTCGTTAAGGGGGCACATATGTACTTATCGTCTCTCTCTCTCTCTCTCATTCCAGACAATGTAACGAGTTAGTGTGCCGACTGACTCTGCAAATTGCACATTACGACAATGTCATTGTAGACAATATAATTCCAGACAATGTAATTCGAGACAATGAAATGAAACTCATTTTCTGCCCAATGACTCTGCAAATTGCACATTACGACAATGTTATTCCAGAACCAAAAGCAACTTCGGAAATACGGAATGTCGCTTTCAACAAAATGGAAATCGGAAAATGCAACTCCTGAAATAAATTATGTATAATGACTCTGCAGATTGCACATTACTACAATGTCATTCCCCGACCAAATGCCGCTCTCACTCTCACACAATAGACTATCGGCCACTATCACTCCCGCACAACAGACACCTCCTGCGATAACACGGCGCCGTCAAAGTCGAGGCGCTGAGCGGCACCTTCGCATTCGGAATCCGATGGTGACTTCTCATCATCCGAGTCATAATCGCTCGTAGACTCGAACAAAATGTCGGCACCTTGACCATCGTCACCCCGGGCTACGCTCTCACCAGCAATTGGCAGTCCGAAATCAGCATCAACATCAACATGCTCAACATCCGGGTCGTCGACGTCCAATTGATGCAACATGTTACGGGCCCAGTCACCGACCCGAGGACTCCCAAAAACTTCAGTTGCAATGTCGAATCTCCACGATGTGTCGTGGCCGGGGTAAACGTGACATCTTGCGAAGCGTCGTCGATGGGTGACATTCGTGGGTTTGCGGAATGTAGTGTGCGATGGCCTGATTCGTTTGTTCTTGTTCCATTTCAGTGTCGTGCCACAAACCCGCGCCTCATATGACTTTGGGAAGTTCAATCGTTTCGTGCAGTACTTGTTGATCATAGAGTGGAAGCATTCGTTGTTGAACGTCATTCTCGCACGTGTGTAGTATGTCATCTTCGTGTTGGAAGCGAACTGCTGCAAACATCGAGAAACGGTGGCATGAACCCGACCCCCAGCCTCGTACAATGGCTCTCTCTTTGAACCGCCAGCCGCCTTGCACAGGTTCAACAACTCCTTGCCGCACATCGAGTGATCCCCAACCCAATGATCGGCCAGGTGTTGCACATGTGAGGCCAACACATCGCCGTTGTCATCCCGCTCCCGTTCGCGCATCCGGCAAGCACCGTACAACCATTCCTTCACCTCCTCCGCCGCATTGCAATGCAAGCCCTCCAACGCGTCGATCTCGACAACGTCATCTTCCAACGGCTTCCCTGCTTCGTTGGGAAACAACACACCCTACACTATCTCCACGAGCTCGTCCTTCTTTTTCGTGGCAGCCCCAGCCACGCGCACACCCTTCGTCTCGAGCCACACTTCGAGCTCCTTCTTTGTGAAACACCTCACCTCGCGAACGTGCTCGCAAGCGCCCACCACAGATGACTTGACAGTCTTCGTGGCACGCACTGCCTCTCGCAAGCGTTTCACCAAAGTCTTGGCTTTGTGCCACATACACTTCTGCGAGTCAATGTTCATTCGTCGCAGGATGACGTCAACCGCACCACAGTCGTTATGCACAACCTCAACGATTATGAGGTTATGTTTGTCCTTCAATCGATGAAGGAGCTTCTCCACGCACTGCGTTTCCAGCCTCCACGACGACTCGCCCCCCCTCAGCATCGTCTCCGTACCCACGATCATCCCAGACTTCAAGTCCAGCGCCGTCACTGTACAATGTTGCGCATCACAGGACGAGTCGTAACGGTCATCGACCAATATGACAACCGGATCGTTAGATCTGCGCAAACGTGCGATGACCTTGTTGAAGCTCCTTTGTGTAACTCGTTCCACGTGTCGCAGCCACTGTCTCGAACCTTTGCCTTCATCACGGAAAAAATTGTAGAATGTTTCTTTCCTGACCTTCTTCATTCTGAGGCCCATCAAGAGGTTGTTCAGTTGGGTGTGCGTCATCCCCGTAGCCACAGTGGAGTGGAACAACTGTGTCTCCACCCTCGAATCTCTCACACCACCTTTGACAACCTTCGCGGAATTCCAGTGCCAAGTGCACCCTTTCCCGCAAGCGAATTGCAACTTGCAAATGTGACAAGGATAGGATATCTTCTCTATCGTCACCTCCACCTCTTTCCCGTGTTGAGGACACGTTTTCTCGAACATGCCGAGAATCTGCAAAAGTTTCACAAGTTCAAGAAACACGACATCAGGTCTCGCAGGTGCATCCCACGTGGCCATGTGGTCCCTTACCGTCAACCTTTCGAACATTGGACCATTGTCTGCAAATCCGTCTTTGCCGTCTCGCCATCTCAAAGCATTACTTCGAGGTCAACCACCTCGCGACCGAGGTGTGCCAGTCGACGCTGACCCCCCCACGCAAGAACCTCCTCGGCCAGACGACTGCTCGTTCGGGCCGTACGTCGCCATGAGGTCATCGACGCGGCTAACACTCCACTAGAGGAGTTGATCGAACACGTTTTCATAAGAACAATGTTTTTTTTCTATTGTCTCCTGAGCTACGAGCAAGGGACGACAACTTCTTGCCCATCGCCCTTGCGATCGAACTCAAGCGCACATGCTGATCACGTCTACATCGCACCCAATGACTGTTGGCCGTCGGAGGTGTACTGGACCTGACCCTGTGCGACGCAGGCGAGAAACTCATCCCGGCTTCACTATCGTTATACGGCGAAACCCCATCGGGTGCATGATCCGTGGAGACGGGAGTGCAGGACAGTGGCCGCAGTCTATCATTGAATGGTTGCACCTCTTCCGGCTCATGAAGGGGGGTCGACGCAATGACACCCAAACCGGGAACTCCACCGGCGCTGTCAGGGGGCGAGCACCGTAACAACGGTGGCCGAGGTAATGTGGACGAAGGCACACACAACGCGCCATGGAAAGCAGCATGCGAGGGATCTGGACGACCGTGACAAACCCCACCAACATAAACACTTCCGGAAATTGGGGTCGGCAACACCCCAGCGAGCAGCCCAAGAGGCGACGAAAGAGGAGGGCGCATTGGAATTACAGCGGATTGTGCAAAAGGAGACTTCATCGGATCCCCGGAGAACGTTGGCAAAGGAGGAATTGCAGCAATGAGACTGCGCAGATGACTCGAGAAAGGAGTATGCGTGACGGTTGTCGAACTCGCGACAGGAGGAAATGGGACGAACGACATCTCGTCCAAACGCTGCCTGGTCGTTGGTCTCGCCAGTACAGCATCGCTTCTACTACGTCCGCGCGGATCCAAAATCCCTCGCCCACGACCGCGCGAATTGTCGTGGTACAACGGAGAGCCTGCCGGGGTGGTGCATGCGGCGAACGACGATGCGAACGCCGCAGGCGTCGGAAGCAACGGGGAACTCGGCGACGTCGGCGCACCCGCAGGAGAGTGTTGGCGTTCCATGTTCAACCACACAGCGGTGAGAGCGCGACGCGGGAAACCCCCAATGCACCTACACATGCAGAGCCACGGTCTCACGGATCACAACCTCTGTTCGGGAATGCGGAACAAAGAAAAGTAATACAAAGCATGGAAGATTTTGGTGCCACAATTTATCCGTGCGTCCAAGCATTATTGTCAATCTCCTTACAAGTTTATGTATTCGTATTTATCCTTTCGTTTGTTTTCGCATGCATGGAATAGTACCACGTGATTGTCCCCGTGATAACCCTTTTTTGTTTTATGTTTTTTATTTTTTTCGATTCAAATTTTACAGTGCGTCCAAATGCGGCCCGTCCCAAACGGCGCCACGAACAATATATATATATATATATATATATATATATCGTCACAAACAGAACAGCCCGGTAAAACCGTAGGCAGAGAGAGAGAAGAGGACAACATATACATATATATATATATATATAAGTGACAGGATTCTGCAGACAGTATATATATATCCTCCTCATGAGTCCATAAAACTCCGACGAAACAGTTTTCCACAGCTCCTCATTTGTTGTCCTCTTCTCTCTCTCTGCCTACGGTTTACCGGACAGTTCTGTTTGTATATATATATATATATAAAAGGATAACCCGGAGGTACCGCTGACCCGTTGAAGCAAATTGGCAAAAAAAAAATAAATAAATAAATAAATTATAAAAGGATAAGCATAAAATCGGGAAAAAACAGGTTACACAAAAAAATAAAAAGAACAACTTTTTCCTCCGACTGCCCAGTAAACAAACAAAAGTGTCCGGTAAACCGTACGCAGAGAGAAAGAAGAAGAGCACAACAAACAAGGGGCTGTGGCAAACTGTTTCCTCAGAGTTTCACTGACTCATCATGAAGCTGAACAGTGAACAGTCTGTAGAATCCCCTTAGCGATTACACTGTCATATACGAGGGGGTGTGCCAAACGGTGTCGTCGCAGTTTGTCCAACGCAAAATTCTGCCTCATGTTGACAGCGGAAAAATGTCAAGAAATTGTAAAAACAAAAAGCACATATGAGGGAAAAAATGACGTTATGAAGGGAAAAAAAAATCGAACAACTTTTGCCTCATGTTGACACCAGAATTTTGCACCAATGTCGGAAAAAAATAAACAAATATAGTTCTTTAGTTTTTTATTTTCATTTTCCAATTATGTATCGTTCTGGGACCCCAGGTCTATATATATATATATATATGTGAAACTCCGATGAAACAGTTCGTCACAGCCCCTCGTTTGTTGTCCTCTTCTCTCTCTCTGCCTACGGTTTACCGGACAGTTCTGTTTGTCAGGATATATATATATTTATATATATCGTCAAATAGAACTGCCCGGTAAACCGTAGGCAGAGAGGGAGAAGAGGACAATAACCGAGGGGCTGTGACAAACTGTTTCGTCGGAGTTTCACCGACTCATCATATATATATATATATATATATCGTCAATATCTAATTATTCCCTTTGGATAAAATTTATCTATGCTGTGTATGATCTCAGGCTGCTGACAGTTTTATCGTGCCGAGTTCCGTCCACCTTTTTTTTCTTTGTGTCTTTCGCAAAATCGTATCACGTCTGTTGTGTTTTCTTACATACGTCCTCTATTACTTTTTCAATCCATGATAGTTGGACATTGATTTTGTTTTTTTTATTCAAAATGGCGAGATGAAGACTATCCTTATATATATATACATATATATATATATATATATCGTCAAACAGAACTGCCCGCTAAACCGTAGGCAGAGAGGGAAAAGAGGACAACAAACGAGGGGCTGTGACAAACTATTTCGTCGGAGTTTCACCGACTCATATATATATATATATATATATATATACATATATATATCTGTGTGTGATGTGTATGTATATGTTCACATAAATGTCGGAGCGCAAGTGCGATAAAGAAGAGACACGGAAAACAATTGGTTTTTTTTTTTGTTTTTTTTTTTTTTTTTCCCTCTTCCTTCTAACTTCCCCCTATTCATAACCTCTTCGTGTACAAGGCCGGCCACGTGGATGTACGTTGAGCGGCGGCTACCCCCACCCCCGTCTGTCATATCCACCCACTTGCATACAGCGAGAAGACAAAGACGCAAACAAAAGAGGAAGGGAACAACCAAAAATCTCAGAACAGGTGACAACAGAATACATCCCTTTCGTCAAGTCCCGAATGCAAGCCTCATCCCCAACTCACAGGCCAAACGACGGGACTATATATATATATATATATATATATATATATATATATATATATATATATATATATATATATATATTGTCGCAAACACAACTGCCCGGTAAACCGTAGGCAAAGACAGAGAAGAGGACAACAAACGAGGGGTTGTGACAAACTGTTTCGTCAGAGTTTCAGCGACTCTTCTTCCTTATAACTCCCGTTGTTCAGAACGACGTCCCAAAGAGAAAGGGAACAACCAAATAATACAGTAAAAGGGGCAACAAAGCAAATCCCGGATGACACGTCCTAGATGCAAACACCGCCCCCGGCTACAGGGCAAACGACGGGACAAGACCAACGAGGATATAAAAGCAGTCTTATCCGCAAACAAAACAAAAAGAAAGGCTCCGATCACATTGTGACAACCAAAAAGAAAGAGAAGACAATCCTGGATGAAGATTCCCATATACAAGCACCGCCCCGCGCTCGCAAGGCCGAGCGACGGGAAACAACCAACCAGGATGCCCAATAACATATAAATACAAATCTGTAATTTTAACTTCCCTTCGGCCAGACATATCCGGCCACTCTATCGATCCCCAATGTATGTACCCCCCGTCTAACATATCGACCCAACCACAACAGCAAAAAGGCGATGACGCAAAAATTAGATGAACGACACAGAAAAACGAAACAGAATAGAGGGCAACATAACATTATTGTCATAAAAAAAATAAAAAATAAAAAAAGTCCCGATACTGGTTTGACAACCACAAGAAAAGACAATCTCGGATGACGATTCAGTTACAACTCCCCCGAATCAGAACCTCTTTCGTGCAAGGTCGGCCACGTGGATGTTGGTCGATCGTAGGCTGCCCCCACCCCCCGTGTGTCCTATCGACCCACTTGCACACAACCAACAGGCGAATAGGTTTACAAAAGAGGAAGGACACCGCTAAACATCACCCAACAGGGGGCAAAAGTCCCGCGCACATGGACAAAGAGAAGGACGAAAGAAGAAGAAGAAGAACAACAACAACAACAACAACAACATGAAGAAGAAGAA